CTCTCTCTCTCTCTCTCTCTCTCTCTCTCTTCTTTCCAACAGAAAGGAGCGCCAATCAGTTAGTGGGGGGCAGCATGCGACTTTGAGGGCCAACACAGGGCTCCCTCCTGCTTTGTAATTGCGTGAAGTGTGGTAATCATTCATCCTTTATTCCTCTTGTTGGATGAGGCAAGGTTTACGTGATTGCACCTGCTCTGTGCATTTTCAGTTGGCCAGTCGCTGCACACACGTAGTAACTCGTGATGTGCAGGCTCTGATGTCACATCCACACAGTTCATAATTGGGTTGTTGAGAGAAAGGGCAGAAGGGGGGAGAAGGGGGGAGAAGGGGGGAGAAGGGGGGAGAAGGGGAGGGGTACAAATGGTCACGGAAACGTCAAATTAAACTGCAATAGAAGTTCAGATAAGCTGTATGATAGCGGTGGACAACGTGGGACGCATTGTTTCTCCGAAGATAGTGTGTTGATCTCTCCGTGATGGCTGTGTAGAGCGCTGAACTTTGTGCAAGATTGCAGCAGGACTTGTTATCGAAGTGCTTTAATGATTTGAACCAGGTCTTTGGGTATTGTAACCTATTCCCTCCCTCTTTCACATGCCTATTGCGATGCATACATACACCTAAAGGGAAGGACAAAGTCTCTTTAAGTGGCAATGCAAACTACTGATTCATGCTATCCCACCTCTAGGGTAAAATATTCTTGCTAACTAATGTACCATGCTTCAGTCCAGGAGCTTTCCTGGCCACACGGATTGGGCATGGTGTCCTTTTGGGTGACCCTTTCCAGCTGTTCCCGAGTGTGTCTCGGTGTGCACGCATGCTTGATTGCACATCTGTGGCATTTGATCGGTGTGCTAGTCAGCCTGTTATACCTTGACGCTTTGGAAGCACAGTGATGTTTTGTTTCAGAAAGTTCTAACGCATTGTGTGTGATGGCTCATAACCAGGAGGTTGCGGAAGGTAATTGAACATAACCTAGCGGCTCAGCTAAAGCCACTCTTCCCCTTGGAGCCTAAGTATTATGCCATGGAATTACCCCCCCTTAGGTTGTAATCCAATTTACTGGAAACTTCTTTGAATGGCAGTTCAACTCCATGCCATCTTGCTCGTTCTGAACACTGCTTGTGTGATTGTGTTGTCTTGACCAGGCAGCCTTCACTGATCAGCACTTCGACCAAGATTTCCAGTTCTGTTCACTAGAAGAAGATCCAGTCACGAAGAAGGTAAGGTCGAGATTCTCAGTTTATTCCGCACAGGTTATTGCTTTGTTAAGAACGTGAACTTTTGAAAACGGCTGATTACCTAGCAGCTCTATGAGGTGGATGGAGCTTATCCGAATGTCACTGTTCGTATACTCCTCTAAGAGGGCTTGAACTCTGTAAAGAGTTGACGGCACGCTGGTCATTGCAGTGCTGGTCTCTCCTGTAGCTGCTGTTGGTTTGTTGTTCATCATTGGCCTCCGCGTGTAGTGTGTAGGTTCCTTCAAGTGACCTTAATGGGAACCCCCATGTAACCACCCCTTTCCCAAAGATGCTTGTCGTATAAGGGATTGGACATGTTCCAGTCATTGCACAGCTGTTTCCTCCTGTACCTGTTACCCATGCGTCATTCGTCAGTGGCCTTTGTGTTTTGCACATAGGTCCCTTCAGGTGTCCTTAAACCACTAGTACATGCCATGCATCGGCCGTGGGCCCCTTTCAGAGGCCGAAACGCGACGCAGTCCGCTGATGTATTTCACCAATGCCGCATTGGCAGAGTAGGTGCTGAACTATTGTCCACAAGGCTGGGGCCGTGTACTGTACTGGCGGTTTAAACCGCCAGCCAGTACACGGCCCCAGCCTTGTAGAAATTTGTTTGTCGCCTACTCCGAAAATTCTGTGGATCAGGCCTACCGAAGCACAATGGCTGGCGGCACCAGCCAAAAAAGAAAAAAAAAATGCCCCGCTCTCGGTTCGGAAAAGCTTGGCACACAGCGCAACGCTTCCAGGCCTGGGTGTACTTGTGGTTTGACAGAACCTTCATGTAACCATACCTCTCCCATTTGTACCACATCTTACAACTTCTGAGAGTTTAGACAAGTGCTGGCTCGACTTTGCTCTGTTTACCATGGATGGCATTCTGCTTTATGGGTGCATTCCTCGATTCCGCTGCCGACCTTGTCCTTGCGCTGACCTCCTTGCGTCATAGGCGATTGCCTTCTGGGCGTGTTTGTGGCACAATTCTTATCTTGACAATGTACGCCGATCGAGACTTTGAGAGTTCTAAGAAGTATGCGGACAATGATGTCCTTCCCATGTGGCACCTGTGCTGCTGTGTGCAGGCCGTGAAGAGAATCATTACGAACTTGAAGACGAAAGACCTGGGGTCAATGCTTGCTCATGCTGGGGCGGGGGATGAAGACCCACGGATGTTGTCCAGCTTCAAGGACCTGCTTGAGAAGGTCTTCACCCTGGATCCGGATAAACGTTTGACTGTATTGCAGGCTCTAAGCCATCCATTTATTACTGGAAAGTGAAGAATATCTCCGAGGTCGACTCATGTGATCGAAATTATGCACTGTCTGTTAGGCTAGTGTCTGTGGGGCCACATGCAGCTAGGGGGGCGGGGGGGGGGGGGGG